GAGGTGTGGGTTACTTGTATCTTATGGGGACTGTTGTTGTCTCCCACTCAGTTAGGCAAAAATTACAATTGAATAACCATCGAAAAAACTAAAAGCACATTGACAAAAACTACACCCTGAAATCACACAGGAACAGTAACCCTGCCCCCCAAAAAAGAAAAGAAAAAGTGGAGAAGAGTAAAAGAAAACAGGTAAATATGCAATATCTGGAGATAGGTCACTAAAAGAAAAAGGTAGAGAAGGAGAATAATGAAGAGAGAAAATAAACTAGCAAACAGAAAAGAGAGGAAAAAAAAAAAGCAAAAACCAAACAAAACCAAAAAACCCAACAAGTAACGGGGTTAATCACTAGAGAAGAAAAGAGAAAAAAAAGAAGGTGTAGACTAAGACCTTTTCAGTCATGTAGTGCTGGTTCGGAGAGTTCTTTGGGTAACTGGAAAGCAGAACCTCTTCTTAAGCCCTTGGAATCTGGTAGAGCGTTGTCTCTTTAGGTTGTCTCTGGGTGCTGGTTATGTGTTGATTTGTTTTGTCTTGGTTTTACTGTTTAATATTTTGAGAAGCTGAAGCTGGTGTGTTTTATCTTAATATCGATTCAGGTGTGTTGGGTCGCTCTGCTGTTTTCTTTGTGATGGTGGAATCACTGTGTGTAATGTGGATATGTGTTTCTGTTTTTTGTACAGAGGGTTAGGGTTTGAAGCGTGAGATTTTATGGTGATTGGCTGAATATGGTTTCTTCTATTGATTGAGTGAAGTTATTGGTGGAGAAGGTGGGGGCAGAAGAAGAAAAGCTTAGTGTTGTTAGGGTCGGTTTCTAGGGCTTTGAGCTGGGTATTATTGATGATGTACTTATTTGCAAGACCGCAGCTTGACCACAGGAAAAAATTCCTCGTTAGAGGGTCACAGATTTCCGCTAATTTCAGGTACACTCAAAGGCCCCATCTCCATGGCCCCACAGTGCCAAAGTGCTGCTCCAAGACAAAATTCGGGGACCGGGCTCAGGTGCAATTTCTTTGTTCTCTGTGCCCCTTATGCCCATGGTGCTGACTTAGTCCAGCCAGACCACCAATGGCTGGCTCTGGAGTTTGTGATACTGCCCACCTGCAGTGCCAAAGTTGCATGCAATTTCAGGTGTGTTGGACTCGGGGGAGTACCTGAGCAGGCTCTTACTTATGACGTATTTATTTGCAAGACCGCGGCTCAATCTCAGGAAAGATTCGTATTATTAGAGGGTCACAGATTTCTGCCAATTTCATGCACACTCAAAGCCCCACCTCCGTGGCCCCACAGTGCCAAAGCACGGCTCCAGGGCAAAATTCGAGTGAGTGCGCTCAGCTGCGGTTTTTCTGCTCTCCATGCCCCATCTACCTGCAGTGGTAGCGCAATCCCACCCGACTGGCAATGGTCAGCTCTGGAGTTTGTCTGTGATACCGCCCACCTGCAGTGCCAAAGATGCGTGCAATTTCAGGTGTGTTGGTTTGGGGGAGTACCTGAGCAGGCTCTTACTTGTGATGTATTTATTTGCAAGACTGTGGCTCAATCTCAGGAAAGATTCATATTATTAGAGAGTCACAGATTTCTGCCAATTTCATGCACACTTAAAGCCCCCACCTCTGCGGCCCCACAGCGCCAAAGCATGGCTCCAGGGCAAAATTTGAGTGAGTGTGCTCAGCTGCGGTTTTTCTGCTCTCCATGCCCCATCTGCCCGCAGTGGTAACGCAATCCCGCCTGGTCAGCAATGGTCGGCTCTGGAGTTTGTCTGTGATACCGCCCACCTGTGGTGCCAAAGATGCATGCAATTTTAGCTGTGGTGGATTTGGGGGAGTACCTGCCAGTGACCTGTGGTCCAGATAACTGTGACAAAGAAAAGCATGGTGTCTCCCAGTCTGACCTAAACCCACTCTGTAATCTGCTGGGAGGGGAGGCAGTTAGCCTTTCTGGTGCACCAGTGAGATCTCTACCTGTGTATCAGCAATGGTGTCCGTGTCCCGCTGCACCCTCACCTCCCAAATTACCAACAAATTCAGCCGCTGAAGACAGGTCTTTGCCGCTGCCCACTGGAATATTGTATTGGTCACTGGTAAGCTGCTATAATTGATCTCGTTCTTGGCTCAGGGATCTCAGGCTGTTGTCTCCGCCCGGCAGACAGTGAGTGCCCCAGAAAGGTTTCCAATGGTCTCTCTCAGGTGCCTGTTCGTCTTCCGGCAGTAGCTCTTTCCTAAAAAATCTCCCTGTACCTTTCCTCCAATTCTGCTCTTCTGTGTTTGGTGCAATCTGGATCAGTGAGCTGTTCAGAGCACCAAAAATCTCAATTCAAACTGTTGTACCTAGTTCTTAAAGTTCTTAGATGCCAGAGGGAAAAAACGCGGTGCTCACTGGTGAGACTCCATTTTGAATCAAGAGATTTAGATTTAAGATTTAGATTTAAGAGTCCTAGTAGCTTTGGTGACATAGTGCCTGAAGCATTTGACTGCTAACCAGAAGGCTGGCAGTTCAAACACACCAGCCACTCTTCAGAAGGAAGATTGGGTAATCTACTTCCGTAGTGATACTGCCTTTCAAACCCAAGGAAGGGTTGCTATGAGTCAGATCCTACTTGACAGCAGTGACTTTTTTTTTTTTTTGGTGGTGCTGTGCTTAAGCATTTAGCTGTTAATTGATTGAAATGTTGGCAGTTCAAAGCCACACAGTAGCTCTGAAGGAGAAAGACTTGGTGATCTGTTCCCATAGAGATTACAGCCTACAAAACCAGTTTGCCTCTGTCAGATGGGGTCATCATAACTCAAAAATTTACTCAATGGCATCTAACAATAACAACAGTGATAGATTGGATATTGAGGGTAAAGAATGGCAAGGAGTCAAATATGGATGTTGTGATTTTGATGAGTAAAGTAATGTTGCTCTGGATAGAATTAGTGAATACCGGGAAGTGAAAAGTTAGAAGAGAAAGAAAATAATTTAGTTATATCTAGAGGTAACAACTGTGATAAGGTGAGATTTGATGGCATTTCCAAGGTAGAAAATGTTGGAGAAGAGTAGAGGGATGATGAAAAAAACCTTGGGGAGAATTCCATTTCATAGGCAGGAGTACACAAAGAAGTCTAAGGAGTAGTCAGAAAGAAGGAAAGAACCAGAGAGTATAGTAGCGTAGAAGCTGAGGAGAGTATTTTGAAAAAAGAGTGGTAATCATCAATCCTGGTAAATATTCCAGGGAAGTAGTGGAAGATAAAAATGATAATAGATGGTTTAACTTGGCAGTGGGAAGTCATTGTCAGCTTTCTGGAGAACAGTTTCAAAAGTGATGTGTGAATAGGAAACATTGGAGAGAAATTTCAAAAGAGTTTGATTTTTAACAGAAAGATACAGAGGGAGGGAAAAGACAGATACAGACACTGTGATAATTTGACAACAACTTACGGTCAAGGAAAGATTTTTCTTAAAAAGTGAATGGTCAAGGGAACAGATCTAACAGAGGGGGAGATACTGAGAAGTTAATATTGATGGAATAAGTTTTCTGATTACGACTCATAGTGACCCCCTTTGGGTTTCCAAGGTGGTAAATGTTTACGGAAGTAGGTTGTCCAGTCTTCCTTCCACAGAGTGGCTGGTGGGTTTGAACCATCAACCTTCTGTTTAGCAGTCAAATGCTTTAGAAACTGAGCCCAGAGCTCCTTGAGATATAGGCAAAGACGAAGTCAAGGACATAATTGGAGGGGATAGTCATAATTGGAGAGGATGAGAGTACATCATAACCTGACCCTGAAGGAAAGGAAAGAATTTGTGATATGAATAAGAATTTTCAAGTGAAGATGAAGAATATGAGGGGAATGTGTGTCTAATGAATGCTTTAGTCATCTTAGTAAAATATGAGGTAAGAAGACCAGTTTTGCTGACATGAATGCCTATTTTTACCCACTAGAAGAATGTATGTGGACCTTATTCACTCTTATCCAGTAGCTTGACAGAAAACTTATTTTGTAAATACGTTTTTCTTATTTTCTAGGGATATTTCATTTCTGTATGATATTAAATATGTAAAAGGAGAGGTTAGGGAGAATACAGTTTGTCCCCCACGTAAGGACCGTTCATTACAGAAGATGGTTCAGACACAAGATGGTGTCATCATACCTCATAAGGTAAATAGAATATTTGACAAATCATTTTCTCTCCTCTCTATTTTTAAAAATTCTTTCCCCAAAACATAAATCAATGTCTTACTATAACAACAACCTTCATTGCTTATCACTTTTTATACTACTTTCTAATTATTTCTGGAAAAGAGTACTGAACTGGGAGAGATCATTACTAATACTGTTATTTCTCTAATTAAAATCTCAATAAATAGTATCTCTTTAGGATAAGCTGGGATTTATGCAACTCATTTTTTTCAGCTATTAATATATTCATTCTTTTCTTTGTTCTTTTTAAGCCTAAGAGATTAGCAGATACTTTGATTCCTGAAGAATTTCATATTGTGTCAAATACAGGAGTTTCAGGTTTGGAGTGTTATGATGAGTGAGTACTATGATATATACTGAATACCTGACAAGTGGAACTACTTATCCTCTTTCCCAGACAGAAAGGAGACTGAGAACAGTGGTACACTCATGTTCCTGTACAGCATAAGCGATAAAATAAGGAAACATTTGGATTAGACATCCTAATAAAATTTAAGAAAGAAAGATGACAAAAACTAAGACGTTTCAAAAGATTTTGGAATTTCAGTGATGAGAGCTCTGTCTTTTCATTCTGTTTAATTTTGAATTTTTTAAAAAATGGAATTTTATTCTGAATACTTGATGATGCATCTTTAGGAATAGCTTTAAGCAATGACTATGGAGACCAAGGAAAGTAGTCAGAATCTCATAACATTCTTTAGGACTTAGCTCCAGACTACAGAATAGTCATCTGTAGTTTTTGTTGATTCCTAGTTATAAGATTGAAAATGAGATCTTGTTTTTATTTTCTGAGGCAATGTTTGCATTTTCTATAGTTTAAAATTCTAGAATTTTGGACTAGCGTTTTATAATAAAATATCCAGGGGCCATCAAACTTTTTCCATTCTTCAGTATGTATATTCTATGGCATTTCCTTATGATGATTGGTATCAGAACAATATTTTGCTAAAGAGAACTAAATTGAACTCATTTTTTGATAGCTTTATATAATTTCAAATTTAAAAAAAAATCACGAAATATGTCAAGGAACTTCTCTGTATGCCATCTATCCTGATTCAGTGATTACTTATATTTTACCTCATTTGCTTTATCATACACACACACACATTCACATATATAACTACTGCTCACTTATTGACGTGATTAGGTTCCAAAGACAAGGTGGTTATTCAAAAACTGACATTATGCAAAAATAGAGGATGACCACATCAGATCACAAAATGGAGCACAACTATATCATTATGTAGCTGCTAAATTACATCATGGGAGCTCTGGTAGCATAGTGGCTAAGACACTTGCCTGCTAACCAGACGGCTGGCGGTTCAAACCCACCAGCCACTCCTCGGAAGGAAGGTTGGGCAATCCTACTTCCGTAGTGATACTGCCTCGGAAACCCAAGGAGGGGTCGCTATGAGTCGGGTTTGACTCGACGGCACATAACAACAACAACAACAACAAATTACATCATTATATAACTGCCAAATTTTATCATTACATAACTGCCAAACAACTGAGAATCATGGCCTAGCCAAATTGACACATAGCCTTAGCCATCACTGCCAGCAATATTGTCGCCTCACACCTTGGTGTTCATTATTGCCAGACATATGTTGTTAATGCACAAAATAGTTTGATAGTAGATCTTTTTTACTATGGTCATAAGTGCAAAATGTCAGACAATGAGATAATCAGTAAGTGAGAAGTAGGTGTATATATATATTTAGTAGAGGTCCCTGATGTCTCCAACTTCTCTTTAATTAAAAAAATTGTATGTGTGTGTGTGTGTGTGTGTTTAGATATGTGTATAAAGCTGAGTGTGTGTATAAAGCTGAGTGCTTTAACGTTTGCACCATGAAGCCTCCTCCACATATGTGTGTGTGTTTATGTGTATATATACATATATATAAAACACATATATATATACACACACATGCATTTTTTTTTTTTTAACTGTTCAAGAGTAAGTTGCAGATATCCTGGCCTTTTACACCAAATACTTTAGGGTATTTTTCCTGACAACAGACATGCTCTTATTACAATCGTAGTACTGTTATTAAAATCAGAAAATTGAATGTTGGTGCAATAGTATTATCTAATACATAGTTCATATTCAGATTTCATTAATCACCCCCTACTTGTTTGGGTTTTTTTTTTTTTTGAGCAATTTTAATAGCTTATTTTCTCCTACTGCAGGATCCCAATCCAGTATCATGTAGTATAATTTGTTACATCCATTTAGTGAACTTTAATCTGGGATAATTTCTCAGCTTTTCTTTATCTTTCTTGACCTAGACATTTCTGAAAAATACAGACCAGCTACTGGGTAGACAGTTCTTCAGTTTAGGTTTGTCTGTTGATTTTGTGTGATATGATACAGATTTTGCATTTTTGTCAGGAAATACTCCAGAAGTACTCCAACACTTGTCTGTCCAGTTTAGTCTGACTTATAGTCACACTGTATGACAGAGTAGAACTGCCGTATACAGTTTCCAAAGCTGTAAATAATTACATAAGCAGACTGCTGCATCTTTCTCCCATTGAGTGGCTGGTGTTGAACTATCAGTTTTTTGGTTACAACACAGTTTGTTGTACTGTGGTGGCTTGTGTGTTGCTGTGTTGCTGGAAGGTATACCACCAGTATTTCAAATACCAGCAGATTCATCCATGGTGGAAGGGTTTCAGTAGAGCTTTCAGACTAAAGCAGACTAGGGAAAAGGAAGAAGCAGTCCACTTATGAAAAAAATTAGCCACTGAACTCTTTATGAATAGCAGTGAAGCATTGTCTGATATAGTGCCGGAGGATGAGCCTCTCAGATTGGAAGGCACTCAGAATATGACTTGGGAAAGCTGCCTCCTCAAAGTAGAGTCAACATTAATGATGTGGATGGAATAAAGCTTTTAAGACCTTCATTTGCTGATGTGGCTCAATTCAAACTAATAAGTAATAGCTGCAAGCATCAATTAATAATTGGAACATGGAATGTACAAAGTATGAATCTAGGAAAATTCGGAGTTGTCAAAAATGAAATGGAATGCATAAAGATTGATATCCTAGGCATTAGTGAGCTAAAATGGACCAGTATTGGCCATATTGAATCAGACAATCATATGGTCTACTATGCTGGCAATGACAAATTTAAGAGGAATGGCATGACATTCATTGACAAAAAGAGCATTTTAAGATCTAACTTGATGTACAATACTGAGTGATAGAATATCTTTATGTTTACAAGGAAGACCAGTTAATGCTATTATTCAAATTTATGCACCAACCACCAAAGCCGAAGATTGAAGAAATTGAACAATTTTACCACCTTCTGTAGTCTGAAATTGACCAACCATGCCATCAAGATGGATTGATAATTACTGGTGATTGGAATGCCTTGGTGATAGAAATGATGCTGGAGATAACATGGTCGAATTTCACAAGACTAATGACTTATTCATTGCAAATACTTTTTTTCCCGACAACTATACATGTGGACCTCACCAGGTAGAATACATAGAAATTAAATTGACTACTTCTGTGGAAAGAGACAATGGAGGAGCTCAATATTATCAGTCAGAACAAGACCAGGGGCTGATTGTGGAACAGATCATTGATTCCTTATATGCAAGTTAAAGTTTAAACTGAAGAAAATTAAAACAACTCCATGAGAGCCAAAATATGACTTTGAGTATACCCAGTTGAATTTAGAAACCATCTGAAGAATAGATTTGATGCATTGAACACCAGTGACCAAAGACCAGGCAAGCTGTGGGATGACATGAAGGGCATCATACATGAAGAAAACCCAAGGTTATTAAAAATACAGGAAAGGAAGAAGAGACTAAAATGGATGTCAGAAGAGATTCTGAAACCTGCTTTTGAATGGAAAGTAGCTAAAGTAAATGGAGGAAATGATGAAGTAAAAGATCTGAACAGAAGCCTTCAAAGGCAGCTCAAGAAGACAAAGTAAAGTATTATAATGAAATGTGCAAAGACCTGGAAATCAAAGGGGAAGAACATGCTTGGCATTTTTCAAGCTGAAAGAAGTGACAAAAAACTCAAGCCTTGAATTGTAATATTGAAGGATTCTGTGGGCAAAATATTGAATGATGCTGGAAGCATCAAAAGAAGAGAGAAGACACACACAGAATTATTGTACCAAAAAGAATTGGTCAGTGTTCAACCATTTCTCACTCACTGCCACCAAGTCGATCCAGACTCAAAGTGACCCCCTTTGGGTTTCTGTGGCAGTAAATCATTATGGAAGTAGATTGCCCAGTCTTCCTTCTGCAGAGTGTATGGTGGGTTTGAACTGCCAACCTTCTGGTTAGCAGTCAAATAAGGTAGCAAGTAATCAAGAAGCGACAGTATTGAAGGAAGAAGTCCAAGCTGCACTGAAAGGGTTGGTGAAAAGGCATTTGAATACTAACCAGAAGGTTGGTGGCTCAAAACCCACCAGCCACTCGTTGGAAGGAAGGTTGGGCAATCTGTGATACTGCCTCGGAAACCCAAGGAGGGGTCGCTGTAAGTCAGATCTAACTTGACAGCAGTGCATTGCGTTGTTTTGTTGTTAAGAATTGACAGAATACCTATTGAAATGTTTCAACAAACAGATACAATACTGGAGGCACTCACTCATTTATGCCAAGAAATTTGGAAGACAGCTACCTGGCCTACTGAGTGGAAGAGATCCATATTTTTGTACATTCCAAACGAAGGTGATTCAACTGAATGCAGAAATTATTGAATAATATCATATGCAAGTAAAATTATGCTGAAAGTATTTCAGAAATGTTTGCAGTAGTATATCGACAGGGAACTGCCAGAAATTCAAACTGGATTCAGAAGAAGATGTGGAATGAGAAATATCACTGCTGATGTCAGATAGATCTTAGTTCAGCAAAGAATACTGGAAAGATATTTACCTGTGGGTGTTTTGTTTGTTTGTTTGTTTTCACTATGCAGAAGCATTTGACTGTGTGGATCATAACAAATTATGAGTAATGTTGCAAAGAATGGGAATTCCAGAACTCTTAATCATGCTCATGAGAAACCTGTACATGGACCAAGAGGTAATCATTTGAACAGAACAAAGGGATATTGGTTTAAAATCAGGAGAGGTGTGCATCCTTTCACCATATTGATCAAATCTGTAAGATGAGCAAATAATCCTAGAAGCTGGAGCATACGAAGAAGAATTTGGCATCAGGATTGGAGGAAGATTCATTAACAACCTGCTGTATGCATATGATGACACAACTTTTCTTTCTTTTACAAATACATTTTATTGAAATCTAATTTATGTACAGTGAAATACACAAAAGTACAGTGACATGGATCAATGCTTT